AACTTGCCCATTAAGTTTTGGGGAGAATGCATTTTAACAGCAGTGTATTTAATTAATTATACTCCCACATCACTTTTGTCTGGAAAGAGTCCCTACGAACTCTTGTTTTCTCAAAAACCAAATTATTCCCACCTTCGTTGTTTTCGGTGTCTTTGCTATGCATCTGTCATCCCTCGTTCAAGGGACAAGTTTCAAGCACGTGCATCTGCTTGCATTTTCGTTGGTTATCCCCATGGTCAAAAAGGCTACAAAGTATATGATCTCACCACACACAAAATTTTCACTTCCAGGGATGTAACGTTTTATGAACATATTTTTCCTTTTCAAAATGTGTCATCACCTTCCCCTCACAATTCATCAACAACTATACCTATTCCTTTACCCGCACTAGACCATGGAACTGAACCTTCCTCTCCCACCAACACCACTATGGCCATCGATCACACCTCATATTTCCCGACTCCTGATGCTCCCATAAACACCAACATCTCTTCCTCTTCCACCAACTTACCCAGTACTCCTCCCCCTAGTCAAACCTTACCAATGCATACTCAACGTCCCCCCCGTGACAGGAAGTTACCATCTCATTTTCGTGACTTCCATGTTGACTTGCCCGGGAATAATAGATCATGTCCCGCCTTTTCCAATCATGCTTCCTCAGGTATGTCCTATCCTTTAAAGAATTTTCTCTCATACTCTAAGTTTAATTCACCTCATACTAGTTTCCTTGTGGCCATCTCTCAAAATGATGAGCCGAAGTCCTATAACCAGGCCGTCAAAGATGTTCGTTGGCAAGAAGCAATGAAAAAGGAATTGGAAGCACTTGAACTAAACCATACTTGGACTTTGGGCAAGTTGCCCCCCGGGAAGAAAGCTATTGGATCACGGTGGGTTTACAAAATCAAATATCATTCCGATGGGACAGTTGGGCGGTACAAGGCCCGCTTGGTCGCCAAGGGTTATACACAGGTTGAAGGGCTTGACTACAATGAAACCTTTACACCGGTTGCCAAACTTACCACTGTAAGGGTCTTATTAGCTACTGCAGTCTCCAAATCATGGGGTCTACATCAACTTGACGTTCATAATACCTTTTTACATGGCGACCTTGATGAGGAAGTATACATTACACCACTTCCTGGATACTTGTCCCTTCACGATGGTAGGTGTGTCGACTCCGCAAATCTATTTATGGTTTAAAGCAAGCATCTCGCCAATGGTTTGCTAAATTTTCCACTGCTATTCTCCGCTTTGGCTTTACTCAATCCAGGGCCGATACTTCTCTCTTTTTGCATTGCAAAGGGAAGTCATTCACTACATTACTTGTGTATGTGGATAACGTTATTATTGCTAGCAACGATCGTGCTCACACCATCGCTCTCAAGGAGTATCTGAACACCTGGTTTCACATCAAAGATCTTGGTCCTCTCAAATATTTCCTTGGTTTGGAAGTAGCTCGATCTCCGGAAGGCATTGTCTTATCTCAACGCAAATACACATTGGATATACTACAGGAAACGAGCTTGCTTGGTACAAAGCTCGCTTCATTCCCCATGGAGCAAAATCACAAGTTGGCTCTGGACGACAGTGCCTTTTTGGATAACCCATCTGCTTATCGGCGTCTTATTGGGAGACTTATTTACCTGACCATCACTAGACCGGAGCTTTGCTATTCGGTTCACATTCTCTCTCAGTTCATGACCCAGCCTCGGCATGGACATTGGGTGGCTGCCCTTCGAGTATTGCGCTACCTTAAATCTGCTCTTGGTCAGGGCATTTGCCTCTCCTCTAAGTCTAATTTTCAGCTTCATGCCTATTGTGATTCAGACTGGGCTGGCTACCCGCTCACCCGGCGTTCAATTACTGGTTATCTTATTTTCTTTGGTTGTTCTCCCATTTCGTGGAAAACTAAAAAGCAAACTATTGTCTCCCGCTCTTCGACTGAAGCTGAGTATCGCTCCATGGCCTCCACAGCTTGTGAACTCATTTGGCTTCGCACTTTGCTTCAGGATTTCACGATCCATACTTCTTTGCCGGCTCAACTTCATTGTGACAATCGAGTTGCGATACATATTGCTACCAACCCCGTTTATCATGAGCGCACTAAACATATCGAGATTGATTGTCACTTCATTCGTGATTGCATTAAGTCTGGTTCCATCACCACACATCATGTTTCCTCTGATCGTCAACTAGCTGACATCTTCACAAAAGCTCTCGGCCATAATCAATTTCACTTCCTTGTTGGAAAGTTAGGCATTCGTAATCTCCATGCTCCAACTTGAGGGGGCGTATTGGAAATATTCCATATACAAATTAAATTGGGCACCATTATAGGATCTATTACTGGAATATTTCCTTATTATTACTTTTCCTCTTTTAGAGCCTCCGTATCAATCCTCATCATGTATATTTATTTGAGACCTTTCTGCCATAATTGAATGAAGCTTTTTGCCGTCTCTTTTATTTCATCAGCTGACATGTACAATATTTTATTTTGTTGTTTTATTTTTTAATGGTCCAACAAGATCTACGATTGTGCATAAAGATATAATGAAATTAAGATAATTTTATGTATAATACTGCAATTGATACCTTCTACAAATCAGGTATGGTGACTGAAGCTGTTAAAATATTGGAGTTTATAAAAATCAAAAGGCTTAACTATGTCTTCTCTCACTGCAACAGTTTATGCAATTATGATTGCGACACTTGCTTAGGATGATAGAATTGAGTTGCTGCCAGACGTCAATACGCAAAGACCTAATTGAAAGAGTATGTTCGATTAGAAAGATTAAGGCAGTCTATAGAGTTTCGAATGAGATGAACAAGTCGGGTTGCCCTTCCGATATTTTACATACAACTTTTTGCTCAAGATTCATTGTGACGTGAATTGTGTGCAAGTGAACAAACTTATAATATGCTAATTGTAATGTTTTTCAATTATATGTTATGACACGGATAACGAATGGGTATCAAAGAAGAGACAATTGGTATATGTTGATGAGGCAAAAGATGAAGGCGTGAGGAAGCAAGGACAACATATAAATGACATTGGAAAATGTTCAATGATAGATGATTTTTATTGAACTCATAAGCTACATCACTTTCTTTTTTCAAAAGTGAAGTTCTTTGATTAACAGTGTTTGTTATTTTTTTGGGTATTTTTAAATTTATGTCACTTCCAACTTACAGGGTGTTGTGTTCATAAAATAAAGTTATGTTCCATTTTCAATTAATAGAAATGAAACTAATCGCAAAGAGACAATATGAAGAAGAAAATGTAAGAGTTTTTAATTAAAGATGGGCTTGTATGTGTGAATAATTGTGTGTTAAATTATAGGCTATCGAATTCGGTTGAGCCCAATTAAAGTGATCTAATAAAGTTTCGATTTTGGGTTTTAATGTATCAAATTAAAGTATGGGTTTACATATGTGTAGAGACCGGGCCCAAATCCTAATTCTATGATGGGCCGAATTAGGTCAAAGGACATCCCTGTATATATAGGTTATGGTCCCCAGATCACATGCAACGTATTATTCATTATCTACTGCATCCTATCACAGAGAGGAAAATGAGACTGGACGTAGATTTGGAAGATCATACCGCGAAATTCATATTGCATTAACCATGTCTGATTCAGGTATGCTTCCTCTTTAATTCTTATATTTCTCGATGATTTAACATGAAAGATCCAGTAATTTAAAGCATTAAATTATCCAAACAAGTGGTATCAGAGCCTTTTCATATTGAATTATTGAGAATCAAAGATTTTAGTTTGGTTCTTGCAATATATTTTGAAATTTTCAGATTTAATAATTTTTGGTTATATATATTTTGTTAAATTTGAAAATTTTTTGCGGTATAATTCTTGTTATTTTCGAAATTTCGGATTATGGATTTTATGGATTTTGAATTTAGATTTCAGTAAAGATTCAGAAAAGATTTTTGTACGTTAAAATAAATAAATAAATAAATAATTTAAGGGGATCTGGTTGGCGGCGGGCATGCCACCAGCATCTGCAGCAGCGCCGGGCTACTACTTGTGCGGTGCGGGCGTGGGCCGGTGCTGCGTTCTTGGCGGCGCCGCTAGGAGAAGAAAAAAA